ACGAGGGCTGGGATACTGCCACGTTGCCCAAGCCTAGACAGGGGAAGTCAAGAGGTAGAGGTCGGGTTCGAATCACGGACCTTCCGGTTAGTAAATTCGCGCTCTAACACTTGAGCCATCTCGCCCCAATATGTGCATAAAAACATCCGGATAGTGAGAACATACGCGGGTGTGGTAGCCTAGCAAACAATGATTGTAAGGAAGGTATGGAGCCATGACTAAATGAAGTTCTGAGGATGAACGAAGGAAACAGCTTCGCGTGCAATCAAAAGATTTTCATCAGACACAGGCAACTGGAAGGGAAGGAGTGAAGTACCCTAATGAATGACTTGAAAAGCAGAAGATACGCTAGTTGAGATGGAGCGTTTGCAGTTTCGGCACGGTCTAGACGGTTCGAAACAGACTGAAGGTCATCAGGCACATGGGTATTGAGGATGTGATCAGGTATGCAACTTTCCACCAAAAAATCTCAGAGGACCCCGCACCAGATATAACAATAGTATGCCATGGTGACGCATAACTGGTGCCGAGAAATGCATAAGCGATCTACAACAAATCAGAGGGCGGCAAATCTGCAGGATCAAACACCGCGATATATGTAAATCGACCGGGCAACCAAATAAGGTAAATGGACAGCCAACAGCGTAAGTAGTCGAATCAGTTTGTTTTGTCGACCATTCGATGCCGTGCAGATAGGGGATCACTTATGTGCATTCACGGCGGGCTCTCTCTGTTAAGTGCAACTATTTTGTGCCCGTGTGTGATCCACAGGGTGTAGCCGTGATTGAATTCATGTATCACAATCCCGACGATTGGGGGGCGAGATGGATCAGTGGTCATAGTGTGAATTTACTGATCGGAAAGTCCGTGGTTTGAACCCGACCTCTGCATGTCAACTTCTGTGTAGGCTTGAACAACCTGGCAGGATCCCAGCCTTCATGCTTCCTTCTGGTGGCATGGCAGCTAGGCACCGAAAGGGTGGATTGTTTATTTACAAATAGTCTCATGCCACAACGACACCCGAGTAGTGCCGCGTCGCCTTACTTGCTACACACAACAGGGTAGGTAGACGGGAAAAGCCTACTGCGATCTCTTTCCCATCCCGACTTCTTTGCTGGAGACAGATACATGGGCCCATTTTTGAAGACTGACAGATCCATTCGCCGCCCGTTGCCATTAGCTGCAATGTATACAGCTGGCTCGACCGCCATGCCCACACACACTTCAAAATCACTCTTCAGAACCCCGCCGCTCGGTTCATCTGATAGCTTCGCACTTTAAAATAAGCTGGACAACAGACTGCTCTTGCATGCACTCAGGACTGATTTTCTGTACAAGTGTGCTGTCCCCCTGAAACGAGGAATCAAGACCCAAGTACGACTGTTGGGAAGACCTCTTCATCCGTTTCCACTTGCTTTGGTTGCACACATCTGTCGATGCGGAAGTCGTTGTTATGGGTTTGTTGGGGTTGGTACTATCTTAAGCCACAAAACCCAGAGGTCTCCGAGGATAGTCGCTTATGTGCCGTTCGTATACCAAAATCAGGCAGAAAACCCCGTAAACGCGCCGATAATCGCTGTCTGCGAAAACTACAACAGATTGGTTCTGGTGATTTCAAAGACAGTTTCTACGAAGCTTTGAAGGCCTTGTTGTGGCGCGCAAAGAGCTCAGATACTGTCCTGGTCGCTGGAGGCATCAATACCTGCGTAGATAGACTAAGAGCTGCTCAGGTCAAAATGGGCGGTCGTCTTGGACTGAAATCGAGACCGAAAACCGTGATCGAAACCGAGATCGAAAAACCGCGTACGCTCGCTGCAGTTATGTGCAGAACACAGGCTGTTTCCGCGAACTACTAATTCCGAAACAACCGAAGCCGCATGGCCATACAGTGCCCCCCCCAGCTTGCGAATCAATCTCCAACACAGATAGACCACATCGCCATTAGCTACAGGTGGCATGTATTGATTATTGATCATCGCTCGTTCTGGAACACCTGTGTGGACTCGTATCACGCATTTGTTCCCTACAACTTATCATTGCGCTTTTCACGGACGTGCGAGATTCGCATACTCCACTTGGCCATTGAGAAGCTCTCGGACCCCCTACTGAAGATTCTTTCGCACATGTTCGATGATGTTGACTCTTACTGGAAAGTGTTGTGTGCAACCGTTCAAGATGCTTGGCGCTTTGTCTGTAAAACGGTTCGACCAACTAGGTCTAAGCACGGATCTCAAGGAATGCTCTAAAATTCCTCCCCAAACATGTATTCCTACTCCGAGTACAATACTCTTCGACAAAATATCAGATTTCATGCGGAAAGAAGCATCAGTGCGGATCGAGAGGCTTGGTGGATCCAGAAAGCATAAAAGATGGAGCAGGTGAAAAACTCAGGGAATATGCGTACACCATTACATCTGATACGTGCAACGGGTCCAACCCGGTCCAAACAATCACTGATAACAAAGGCTCGCCTATCTGTGAAAAGCAAGAGCACCTGAATCGTCCGTCTGAACACCTTCAAGGACAGTTCAACTGGCTATCCAAACGCCTCATTAAAAATAATGGTGTTCGACAAGGATATCCACCCTCCCCCTTATTGTTTAGTTCCGTTAATGGTGAGATAATGAGGCGAATACTGGGAGGTCTCCAAAGTCTCGGGTGCTCATATCCCTTCGAAAGGCGTTCCCCAAGTTGGGAGCATTTTGGACAGATAGATACGAATTTTCACTAGGGTCGAGTTCGCAGCAAAAATAGCCTTTTACGACTACCAATACTGTGGTTGTCATCATCGTCATCACCATTGACAGCAACACAAGATGAGGACACCCGGGCTTCACTGCCGTACAACCAAGTCAACTTGTTTGACGAAAGCCTCATAATTGTTGTGGCCGCTAAGTTTCCTCCAGGACCGCTTAATTGTGTTTTGTCCGAACCGTTCGGGATGCTATCCAGAGGAAAATAAACGGCTGTAATGAGGTAGGTGGCACATCTAATCAACCACAAACATGTTTTAGTTGGGAAGTGACAACAGCTACCGAACCTATTAATTTCACGACAAAAGGGCATGAAGGAGGAGCAATAAACGTCAAAACTAGGCCGTGCCATACAGTTAGCTTGGAACGTCAGAATGCTTGCGGCGGACTGGCTCTTGGTCCAGTTCCTTTTATTCCTGGTTCTTTGCTGTGAATACGTCGAGATTGAACGGTAACGAAACACTGGTATCAAGACTTGTGTTGCGGCCTATAATTACGATGGCATGGAATGGGTTCTATGATTTTCGTGGTAACCTAGTAATGAAGATACTTTGATGAATTTGGTTTACATTAACAAGAGTAATCGCATTCGGGACATAGGGGTAAAACAGACTTCCAGCTGCAATACACCTTTGGTATATAGCTGCCATGAAACCCGAAGGAAGCAGGAGAGCCAGAAAACGGTCAGGATGTCGGAACTTAGATGGCAGCATTTGAGATGCCGATATTGGATTCGAATAATGGACATTTCGGCCAGTGAGATCGCGGCTTAACGACTGAACTACATCGAGTGAGACGTGAAATAGCAAATGTAGCACGTTACGTGTTATGAAAGCCACAAACGCTATGACATAACAACACCGCTTAAAAAGAGACTAAAGCGCAAACCAACCTGTTTCAACTCCTCTGCATACTGGGCACGCAGTTGAAGGACGGAGATTTGGTCGGAGGATGCTGACTGCTGCAGCGGATCTACTCCTGTTGGAACGTGTACCTCGTCTACTCCGACAGAATCATAGTAGTGTTCTGAAAGAAGTCAGAATCAGAGCGCTGAGGCGAGACAAAATCGAGGGACGACTGTGAAGCAGGTAACCAAGAGAATGGGAGCACACGAATTTGGACTTCTAATAAACGTTTCTTGTCAGCCAAACCAATTACAGACAGGATTGTTGGGGCATCTTCAAATACACCGAATAGAGCAAAGACCAAAGCCATGGATGCTTCACCGAAAACTAGCCTGGAGGAGACAGCACAGTTCGGTCCGACAAACTACTCATGCAAGCTTGAAAAATATACTATGCTTCTGAACGAAGCAATACATCGTTGTATGTTTGCTTCATTTTCCATCGTTCCTTGCTAAATCCCTTTTTCTCACATCCGATCACACTGTCATAGCTTTGGATGAATAAAGCTCAGCTTCTGGGCCCTTAGTCTATTCCGTTCATACTCTCATCGTAGTCGCACTCCATTCCTCATCAAGCATAACATACATGCCACCTACGAGAAACGGCCTAGAGTTGTCGAGTGCTGGTGGTGCTCCTGAGTCATTTGGGTTGTTTGGGAAATTAGCAAAAATAGATGCAAAGTATCAGGATCTTTTGACAGTAACTACAGATGTATAATAGTTCTAGTGCAGTCCGGATATAGAGTCTGACAGAGGGCGATATTGTGGTATTGGTCAAAAGTCATCTTACAAGGTAGTGAATTTTTTCAGAGTTGCCTAAATTATTTAGGTCTCGCTAGTTGAAATCACTGAAAAGCTTTCGAGAACCGTTGTGAACAATACAATATTGGTATGCCACTCAAAAGCCACGTCCAGTAAGCTAGCATTTTACCCGTGTCCCGAGGGTCGCTACTTAACTGGAATTTGGGTGCAGATTCTTCTCGCCTTATTTATCAAGCGCCTTTGTGGCACATCAGGTGATTGATTAGGCTGCGTCTACCGAGGAACGAACAGTTCTCGAAATGAACGATTTCTAATTTTCCCTCAGGGATTACTCTACATGCAACTTTAATCACACTTTACTTTGAAGTGACCACAAGGGTGGATGATAGGGAAAAAAGGAGGCCCAGAGTCACAGACCTCCCACACAAATGATAGATATGAACTTGGCATTGGAAATTTTGAAAATTACGCCTGGGTCAACTGTCCATGGAGAGTCGTGGGGATTTGGACATAGCAAACTTTCGAAAATCTGAAGGTCAAGAGAGCTTGGAAGACAATAAAACAAGGGAGAATTGAGAAAACCAGTAATCCCGGGGAAATCAGGTAGGACATAGTTACGTTCCAGCAAGTGAGTCTAATTTGATCTGGGACTGTTTCATCCTAGTTACGCATCGTGACCCGTGCACTTGTCAAAAATCTCCCCTGAAATTCCAACTGCCGATAGGGTAACAGCCCCGGAACTTACACAGCAAGGTACCAACAATTCCGTGACCCGTGCACTTGTCAAAAATCTCCCGTGAAATTCCAACTGCCGACAGGGTGACAGCCCCGGAACAAAGATGTGATTAACTTACACAGCAAGGTACCGGCGATTTGTACAAAAAAGATAAGACGAAACAGCCTTCCATAAAACAGGCCATCAAAGCGACAAAGGCTCATATGATATGAATCGTGTGATTGGGGGGTCTTCTAGACGTAAGTTAATAATAACATTCGTCCCGCAGTACCCTAATGCCATGTCACCTGAGAAAAGCACGCGGGCTGAGACACTGTCGCGATGCCCAGGCCTAGACAGCAGTCGACATAAGGGGACCTGGTTCGAACCACGTACCCGGCTCAGTAGGTTCACGCCATAACCACCGGGCTACCTCGAACCCAGCTGTTTCACCGTTTCGGTGCTCAACTGCCAGTTCACCCGAAGGAAGCACGCGGATTTAGATACCGTCAGGTAACCTAAGTATAGACAGGAGCAATCGAGGGGTTGGGCTGAAACCACAACATTCCGATCAGTATGCCTGTACCTTACTCACTGAGCTATCTCGTAAGCTACCGTAAGTTGACCACGCCATTAATAAGCCAGTCGTGACTGGATGGAATGGTCTTTAATAACTAATTGGAAAGGTGCGTGTCCAAATCACTTTGGAGATTCGTGAGGTGTGCACCATTGTTGAGTCCTAATAGCGTCTTTCACAATTGACAGGACGGCTGCCTCAAAACGAACACTTCTATTTTGATTATTAATGATAATATCATCTTTTACACTGTAGCTTTGTCCCTCCCGTATATTTGACCTGTGGTGCTCTTTGTTGGCTCAGCTTGCATTTCGTCATCTATGTGAACATTACCAATGCTAATTGTGTTCTTAATTATCTGCTACAGAAACTCATAGATATAACCCAAAGAATAGTTGGGGGCAAATCTGTAGCAGCAAAAACAGGTGTACTTTGAACAGCAGAGATCACGGTTCACTCTGTCTCTGACACGGAGACCCAACATCTAGTCGTCAGCATCTCGTCCCAGAAGCCAGCTGATGTGATATCGGCAGGATGGTGGCCACACATTCGATACATTATAAAAACATTGGGAAGATACCTTCTGGAACGAGTTTGGAAGTCAAAACGACGCACAGAAAGCCCACTTCTTGATCCGAAAACTCGGCATTGTTGGACACGGAAGTTTTATGATGTTCACCCTTCCACGGCAACTAAGGGAATCAGACTTCAAGCAAGGAGTAAACCGACTGCGCCCTGGGTTCACGGAAACAGGTGATTTCATCTGTGAATCGCTTTTCCAAAAAAAAACGGGTGTTGACAGTTAGCAACACCCACCGATATTCGTGGTTTCCGGGGTGTCTCAAGCAGGTTGTAGTGCTCAAAGCACGTGAACCAGATAGGTTGCATAATTTCTAACCATCTGTAGAGGAGAGGTGATTGGGCCCCAATGTACCAGGAAGTCAGTTTACATACAGATCAAACGCGTAGCACGATAACTCAATCTTGCGACGATGATACTCTCAGCTCGCACTCTTCTCGATAGCATACTGTTGAGTCAGACCTGAAAATAGCAGTCATGTAGAAAATCTTCCGTTTGTCACCAGATGTTTCGAAAATAACCGGTGAGCATGTTAAGTAGTATAGTATAGAAGATGCTGTCTAAGATCGGTGTAAATCCGGTCATCCAAGCTCTTAACTCATACTTCTTGTACTAGGTTAGCAATAGGCTAGTAGCAACCGACCACAAGCTGTCACCTAGATGCGGTGGCCGAGCTTTAGCGGTGCAAGGACCTCGGGGCTACACAAGCTGGGGCTTTGTTCCACAAAGTGCAACAATGCGGAGACGGCCAAAAGAGATCAGTCGAGCTAAGGGTAACAGTGAAGCATCATTCGCCCCAACGATTCTTAGATAACCTATGTCCCTTTCCAAACTCCCGTTTTATGAAAAACGTTGCCGGAACATGCGAGTATCGGTTTTTTGACTGATCAGTGATTAGGACGCAAACGTACTGACCAGAAGATCCATGGTTTGAACCCAACTCGGCATCTGGACTGATCCTGTCTACGCCTGGGCAACTTGACATTACCTCAACCTTCATGCTCCATTCGGGTGGCATGGCAGCTGGGTACTGAAAGGGTGTTATGGCTGAACCATTTGACCGATTTGCTCTAATTAACCCACTACCTGTTAGCAACAATACTGATGAATCCGCGAGTACCCTTCCACGCAGTCATCAGTCGTACTTCTTCCAGATTGACAAACAGGTAATGCACGCCGAGATATTGTTCTCTCTCAAAACTGATGTAAACCGAATATCCTAAATATGCACAAGAGACTCAAGACTGTTCGTGCATTTTAAAAACCTCCGCATGAACTCAGATTTGTCACACTGTGTTCTGTGTGACTGGTTATCCAGAAGCGATGACTTATAGAGCAAAAAAAGTGGAATTTGCACTGAGGCCCAGGACTAAAGGCGCTTTTCGGGGTTGGATTCCAGTGAACAGCCTCTTCGTAGCATTCGGTTATCCAGCTCAGCTGAGTACAATCCCATCCGACAAATCTCGGTACCTTTTTGTCGCCATCATCATCATCATCGACAGCATGGCATCAGTGTTCAACACCGATGCTTCGCTTCCATAGCTGTTTTTAGTACCACCTTAAGTCTTGAAGGAGTGCATTTCTGGTGCTGAGGATACGTACCATCGAGATTTATCCGGATTAATCCGTCAAGCAAAAGGCGACGACATTCTTAACCTTGCGGACGACATGAATACCCAAGCCGGTCATCTGGATCCTTTGCGACAAACATCATGGTGATTGATTCGGAGTCGACGTCCGCCGCACAGACAACGGAGAGCGACTCCTGTTTCCAGCCAGTACGAATTCTCAACACAAACTCTCGCAAGGTATAAGCTGGTGACTGCCTAGTAGCTATCATCCGCGTTTAAATGCAGGCCCGTCTGTCAATTCGCTTTCCATCAGCCAAGCGCAAACTAGCAAGAAGCACGTCAATCCATCATTTTCGGATAACCAACATGGATCAGCAGCATCGATTTGAGCTAGCCCAACTGCTTGCTGAAGACATTTCATACAGATAAATGGGAGGTACACTGTAATTGCTTGGAGAAAAAAGCTGCTAGTTGTAACA